AGCATCGTATAAGGAAATACAAGGCGCCTATAAGCTGCTAACGAAATATAAGTCCGCGATAGACTTCATCGATAAGAACGCAAGGAAGGTTATTGTAACGGACAATATACGACTTTGGCAGGCCCTCGAGAGACGAGAGGAACCGCGCAACGACTTAGAAGTATATGCAGCACGCATTCGAGCCTTATATAAGGCGGCATACCAGCATATCCCAGGAGGCCAGAACCCGGCCGATTTTTATTCGAGGAGACACCGTCTCCTCTCTTAAAGAGTTTTTAATTATTCAATCATAATAATTTTTTCTTCGTGAAAAGAAAAGCATCTTCTGAACATCAAACTCCATTTTACACACTTGAACTTGGTTACCCAACTCACATGGTTGAGACTCGATCGACTATGGACGTACACAAAGAAGCACGCAATATTATAATCGAGGCTAATAAGAGTGGCAACATGGACGTGGTGAGGGTTCAAGCTATCCCACCAAAGGTATGGGGCGAAGTATGTACGACCCTAGATTGCCAGCGACTACTACAATACAATAGAGTACTACTAACGACGTCATTCATAAAGGAACTAGAGACGGTGATCGCGGCAAAAGAAAAGGCTGAACAGCCAGCCTTTACGCATCGCAAGATCCAAGAAGCTGTACCAGCACAGCCCGTACGACCACCGACCCTAGACTTGACTTCAGTACACAGCCAACAGCAACCGATGAACGTCCAGCAGCGACCCATGTTAGAAGAGGTGTATTACTCTGACAGAAGCTCAGACGGGCACAGACGAGACAGGCGGCACACGCTGACGACCGACGAGTGGTCCCACATTGACTATATGGTGGGTGATCCAGGACAGATGTTGAGTCGGTTAAAAGGTGTGCGAATGTCGCCCGACAAAGCCTTCGAAGTGCGCAATAAGATCCTGCGAAAGACACTGATTGACCCGGAGATCGATAACTCCGATAAGCTGATCGCTAGAATCAACCAGTTGATCGATCAAGGGCTGATATCGCATGACTTATCAGTAAACATCTTATTGAGCTGCATAGCCTACGGGAAAGAAGGCACCATGCATCGCATTGAGACTGGGCAGATTCGAAAACCTCTGGGAGTCTATAACGTAAGCTCAAGAAAGAGACCTGACGAACGTAAACCGAAGCCTCAGGCAAAGCAGAACGCTACTAATGCTACGTATAAGAAGAAATACCCAGCGGGCAATACGAATCAGCCCAGACGAGGCAGCTATGTTAAGAATACCGAGACCACTAAGAATTGGTCTCAAGGTACGAAATAGGAAGAAGGCAGGCGTCATGAAAAGGTAGACGCCGAGCCAGACGCTTACTCAGGTTCAGATATATCGACAGGTGATGAAGCAACACCAAAGTCGACGAATATGATAAACACGAGTGATGACTATGCATCAACTCGGATGCTGGTCACACCGGTCTCAGCCGGTCGAGCCCGCGTTAGACCTACGGTGGCCTAGGTTTTGCCCTGGTAGCTAACGGGATGACGTTCCTGGCTTACTCGTAAAGTGGAGTGCCATTGTAGGTAGAGCAAGAAACAGCAAACCAAGAAAAGGAACATAGTAGTGAGCGACGGGGAGAA